GCACTCCCAACTCTCGCTCACCGATGGTGGAGATGAAGGTGGTGTTAAAAGCATCATCGGAGAACCGGAAAAGCACGCAGGTCTTGCCAACGCCCGAGTCGCCGATCAGCAGCAGCTTGAAGAGCAGGTCGTAGGTTTTCTTCGCCATGGGGGCCCCCCCCGCGCCGCGCGCCACTTCCTCGCCAGGCTCTGCCTCAGCAGGCGCCGCCGCCGCCTTGGGCCCTCCGAGACCCCTCCGTACTACAACGCACAAGGCCGGGCTCCGCGGCGGTGGCGAAGGAGGAGGCGGCAAGCTGAGGGAGGGAAGGGGAGGCACAAAATGGCTGCCTTGGTGACAGCGGGCCGGGCAAGGCAGGCAGCAGCTGTAAGGGACTCGGTTCCCGGGCAGAACTACCTCACGGGTGAACAGCGACGGCGGCGCTCGACTTCATGCCCCTCGGTTCCCTCTTCAGGCGACCGCTTCTCGGTTTCCTTAGTCAATCACGCTCCGGACGGGAGCAGGCCGAACGCACGCACAGCCGGGCCGAGGGACTCAGTGGACGGGTGGGGCGGGGTTACGCTCACGCAAAGGATGAGGAAGGGCGCGGGAGCGCGCACGCTGATTTGGCGGCCGCTCCCTTTCTTGCAGACAAGAAGTTGCTCCCTGACGTCAAAGGATGTGAACGGACCGCGGGCCAACCCTTCCGCATGCGCAGATGAATTTGGCGAGTTGCTACACACCACAGGAGGCCGTTCTGCGCCTGCGCGAGTGCGGACTGCTGCTCCACGCACGAAGGTGCGACGTCTCCAATCGTCGTACAGCGACGTGACGCAAAATGCCCAGGGAAATTCGCGGAGCTTTAGAAAAAAAGGAAGGGTTGTTTTTTTTTGTCGTTGTTGTTTGTTGTTGCGCTCCCAAAATGAAGGTTTCGAGGAGGGCGGGATTTGGACGCTTGTAACTCTTCCCTCGTCCATGATTGGTGGAAGAGTGGATCGGAAAGGCGGGGTCATAGCGTTGAATGGGAGCGGTTCGGTATGGCGCGTGCGCAGAGAGCAGGATTGTGACATGTGCGATCCATGCCCTGCCCTTTTCCCTCCCCCCCCTTTCTTTGGCTCAGGTAGTGCTTAGAATTTGAGAAGACTCTTAACCTGACCTGAGTTTAAGGAATGACTTGCATTTTCCCTCAGTAGGTTTCCACTTCAGTCTGCCTGGGCTTGCCCCTCCTGCAAAGCCACACGTTATTCAAGTTTACTTATTTCATGTTTATATTGACAACTCCAAACTATATGCACTCTGGGGCACACAATACTTTAAAGTGTAAAACTCTGTAGAGATTCTCAGTCATGTAAGTCATGGATTGTCCCAAAGATGGTTTTTCAGGAGGCAACTGGACTTTCTCGTTTTTCTTTTGAAGACGTTTAACTTCTCATCCAAGAAACTTCTTCAGCTCTGACAGGATAGTGGGGAATGGAAGGATTTATAAAGGATGCAAATGACCAGCTGTCTGCAAGGAATATAAACCCTTCCATTCCCCACTATCCTGTCAGATCTGAAGAAGCTTCTTGGATGAGAAGCGAAATGTCTTCAAAAGAAAAACAAGGAAGTCAAGTTGCCTTCTGAAAAACCACCTTTGGGACTGTAGGAAGTTAGCACCCACCCCTTTCCTAGAAGAATGAAATATTTTAGGAAATATTAAAAAGGCAGAATATTATGTTTCCCTGGTTGAAAAATGGAGAAACATGTTTTAAAGACAGCAGCTCCCACCTTCCTGTCTCCCCCCCCCTTTGTTAATGGGCCAGAGGCAGAAACTCAAATCTTTGACAATAGGACCCATCTGCAACACAATAGCAACTCACCACATGGCACCTGGGAAGATTACATCAGCCAGCAAGGCTAGCTAAGACCCCCACTCCCTGGGAGTCTGACAATCAATCAGGATACTCTTTCGGGGGCCCAGGAAGTTCAAAGCCAGAGAGAGTATACAACCCGGGGACTTGCTGTATCTTGTCCCTTTTTCTGTTCAGGAACTCAAGCCATGTGATCCTGTCCACCATTAAACCATCTTTCCAAGCAGTCTCCATGTCTCCAGTGTCTTTGTCCCCACTTGGAGCTGAACCCAGAAGGATATTTCTTCCAACAGGACTTTAAAGTGTAATACCTTAAAGCAACTGAAAAAGTAGTTCTCAGCAATTATAGACTTCCAACAAAGATACAGGCCAGAGTCTTCTTCAAATCGTATTACTTTCACTTCCTTCTTGAAACCTAAAAACTTTGAAGCCGCCCATATTTCCTGGTATTAATGTTGCATGATGTAGGGGCGGTCGCACAGAAAGTCTGTGGCCTAGTTCACATTCCACGAACTTCACAAAGGGGTAAGGGGGGGGGTTGAGGGAGAAAAAACCTCCAACATGCTCTCCTTTGATAGTGTAAACATATTGGATTTTGGTGAAGCAATCTGGGTTATCAGTAATCTTGCCCTTGTGTTCTGTACAATGACAGTTTCTGAGTCATCTTCCAGGGCATCCATTAACGTAGCATGTAAGGTAAAGGTAAATGTTCCCCTCGCACCTGTGCTAGTCGTTCCGGACTCTAGGGGGCGGTGCTCATCTCCATTTCAAAGCCGAAGAGCCAGCGCTGTCCGAAGACGTCTCCGTGGTCATGTGCCCGGCATGACTAAATGCCAAAGGCACATGGAACGCTGTTACCTTCCCACCAAAGGTCCCTACTTTTCTACTTGCATTTTTTTTTTTTACGTGCTTTTGAACTGCTAGGTTGGCAGAAGCTGGGACAAGTAACGGGAGTTCACCCCATTAATGAGGCACTGGTGATTCGAACTGCTGAACTGTCGACTTTTCGATTGACAAGCTCAGCATCTTAGCCACTGAGCCACTGTGTCTCTTCTAATGTAGCATGTAACTATATTCTAATCTGCTGGTGATCAAGGCAAGTATAACTTGCTAGGTCATTCTAGTCAAAGTATGATAGTAATTGATTCACTGGATGTAGCTGGACCATGCCCATCCACTCGTCTGCAGCTTTAATCTGATTTCCTGGAAGAACCAAGAGTCCAGGAGGACCTCAGGTTACAAACCAATTCTTTCATGTGAAGAATGAGCCCAGTCCACAATATCACTGGGTCAGTTATTGTCAAATTGCTGAATTATTTACTGACAAAAAATAGCTCTTTCTTGGAAGGATTTATTCTGAGATTGTTTTGCCCCACCCAAAGCCTTACAGCCGCCAAATACTGGTTCAGAACCTCCATGGCATGTACTGGTTCAGTTGGAATAGTGATGTACTATTGATATCATATGCCCAGAGGTGGGCTGCTGCCGGTTTGGACCGGTTCACCCAAACTGGTGGTTCTGATTTTGCATGGTTCGGAGCAAATTGTACCACCAGCAAATTGGACCACCTCCTGGCCCCACCCATGCCCGTTTTTCAGGCCCTTTTCAGGCTGTTTTTCCAGCCAAAATCAGCCCAAAAAACAGCCTGAAAACGGCCCGAAAAAATGGCCTGAAAACGCCCCAAAACAGGCCATTTTCTGGGCTGTTTTCAGGCCGTTTTGGGATCAAAAAATGGCCTGAAAATGGCCTTAAAAAGCTGGCTGCGAGAGGAAGAGAAGCTGGGTGAGCCAGACCGAGATATTTCCTCAGTCCCCTCACCCCAGAAGCAGCAACCTTGCACTCTCCCCTTCTCTGCTAGCCCCCTTCTTTGCACGGGATCACCCAGCAATGGAGAAGGAGAAGGTGGCGGTGTTTCTGTGTGTTCCCGTTTCTGTGTGGCACTCTCCCCTCAATGCTAGCAGCTGCCGCTGCTCCCTTCACCCTCTCCATCTCCGCTGCTGGGCGATCCCGTGCGAAGAAGGGGGCTAGCAGAGAGGGGAGAGTGCGAGGTTGCTGCTTCTGGGGTGAGGGGACCCGGGAGGCGTCTGGGTCCAGTTTACCCAGCTTCTTTTCCTCTTGCAGCCAGCTTTCCCAGTCTAGCTTGACGCAATCTCTCTCTCACGCACACACACACAAACAGGTTGGATCTTTAATTCCTTCCCCCCTCACCAGAGACCCTTGGATTCCCTCCCCAGCCCTGCCTGTCCCATACAGGTATCACCCACACAAGTGATGTAGAGTTGGCCACGCCGACTCAGTCACATGACCCCACCCAGCCATGCCCACCCAACCAATCATTAGGGCAGAGAACCGGTTGTTAAAAAATTTGGAGCCCACCACTGCATATGCCTCTTGGTGTTCCTTACCCTGAATCAACAGATGATCTTCCCAGGGGTTTCATGTGGATGTTAAATAAGATTAATGATCTGGTACTCCTAAGAGTAAAACAAGATCATTTCAATGTGGTTGTACAGTAATTTGTCTAGTCCCACTATGGGAACTGGCCTGTTGTAAAGGTAAAGGTTTCTTTCCCCTGTCCAGTTGTGGCCTACGGGGCAGTGCTCATCTTTTCTTAGCTGGGGAAGTCAGCATTCTCCGAAGGCATTTCCATAGTCACATGGCCAGCATAACTATATGCGGAGGCACACAGAATGCAGTTAGCTTCCCACCAAAGTGCTACCTATTTATCTACCCACATTTGCATGTTTCCGAACTGCTAGGTGGGCAGGAGTTGTGGAAAGGACAGGACCTCACCCTGTTGTGCAACGCTCGGGTCTTGAACTCGGGCTGTCAGCTTTCCAGCTGGCAAGCTCAGTGTGTTTAACCGCTGAGCCATTGCACTTCCTAACATAGTGAAAGGTTACTTAGCTGTATGGCATGTTGAGGACATACATTGAAGGTCTGTCTAATCTGGCTATTCGGTTTAAAGGGCTTTCTGTGGAGTGTGATCTGTCTGTTTCAGTGGTGGGTTGCTACCGGTTCACCCCAGTTCAAGTGAATCAATAGCGGCGGGAGGCTCCACTCACCCGCCTGGACATCATCAAATACGATCTGCGCATGTGGAGAAGCTTTTGCGTATGCACAGAAGTGGCGCGTGCGAGCAAACCAGTAGTAAAGGTAAGTGAAACTCATCACTGGTCTGTTTGATTTATCTACTGCCTCAGTAACAATACATAAAATAATAATACAATTGCATTAATCACAAATATCAAGGATTGATGCTACTGGCTCCATGGTCAATATCCAAAGGCTTTCCAGAAGAATCAGATTTTTATAAGCTATTTGAAGACTATGAGAGCAGAGTCCATCCTCACCTCAGGGGACAGACAAGATAGCGCAGAGAATAACCACCACAGAGCCCTCTCTTGAGGAGTGAGAATGATGGGAGCAGGAGAGTTTCTTTGCGTAACTGTTTTCAGTAAGTAGTGCTTTTGATTAATATTTCTTAGTTCTTTGAAGTAACAAGCAAATTCCCCAAGTGGAATGTGGATTCTGATAAGAACCGGTTCAGACCGGCCAAAGATGAGAATTGCCCAAATATTTGAACTTTTAATAACCTGAAAACTAATTCTATTGTGAGAACCACACCTACTGAACATACAACTGGGCATTGACAAGATCATCCTAAGAATGTTAAGGGATGCTATGAAATGTTAAGACATTAGATAGGCTACATCACAGATGAGTCAAATGATGTTGACCAATGAACGAACAGATTCCAAACCCAATATGTTTGAACTATATATAAAGTGATTCCCAACCTTTCCACGGGACCTCTCGCCTTGTATCTGTGATAGACCTTTCCTTGTTTATGAACAATAAGAGATATTAATCTCTCTCCTATTTTGGGTAAAAGAATACTGAGCTAAGACCTTGCCATCATTTACAGCTTACAGGGATCCTTACCAAGCATTCTCTTAGATGGGCATTTATTTTTGTTTCTCCATCCAGCTCATCAGGTGCCTCCTCACAATTTATTTAATTATTTGTTGAATTTATTTGCTGCCCATCTTGTAGCAAACAACTCTGGATGGTAAGAAGGGAGTGGGGCATATTGTCCTGTTAATTCAATAATAGTATTGGGAGACATGCTGCCACGTTCAGAGATAACATTGAAGCTTCAAAAGTAATAAACCCTGATGGTCTCCATCACTGCAGGTTTTCAAAAAAATACTGAACAACCATTTGTCTGAGATGTTATGAAGACTCCTGCCTTAGGCAGAGGGTTAGACTAGAAGATCTCCACGTTTTCTTCAACCCTATGCTATTGCTTTCGTGTTGAGCATTGAGGCACTTCTGAGTTGAGAGGATTAGCTCAGGGGTGAAATCTAAAATTTATTACTACCGGTTCTGTGGGCTTGGTTTGGTGGTGGTGGGTAGTTTTTTTTTACTTTTAAAAGCATTTTTTCTACAACCTCTTCAGCCGAAGAGGTTGCAGAAAAAAATGCTTTTAGAAGCCTCTGACAATCAGGCAACTCAGCTGGGATCACCAGGGGCTTTTAAAGGCATTTTTTCTACAACCTCTTCGGCTGAAGAGGTTGCAGAAAAAAATGCTTTGAAAAGCCTCTGACGATTCCAGCTGAGCCGCGTGATCATCAGAGGCTTTTTTTTTAACTTTTAAAAGCATTTTTTCAGCGGAAGAGGTTGTAGAAAAAATACTTTTAAAAGTAAAAAAAACAGCCTCTGATGATCGCGCAGCTCAGCTGGGCATGGGGGAGGGGGCGCAGGGATTTTTGCTACCGGTTCTCCGAACCACCCGCCGCCATCGCTACTGGATCGGGCGATCCGGTCCGAACCGGGAGCATTTCACCCCTGGATTAGCTGCTGACATCAGTGTAGTCCAGGAGATGACTAAGTGGAGGCTCCTTTCATATCCCCATTAATGTGCTCACTAAACTGGTACCTATCTATCTACTCGTGATTACTCACTTTTGAACTGCTCGGTCAGCAGGAGCTGGGATGACAAGACCTCACTCTGTCATGCAGCAGCACTCAGGTTATTGAACACGGGCTTGCTGATTATCAACCCAGAGTCCTAACTGTTATGTAAATAGGTTTTCTTGGCGGGAAGTTTGAACTAACTGACCATCAGCTGATTGGCTGACCACCACAGCTGCGAGGTATATAAAGGGAGCTGTTTCCCTAGGTCAGTCGCTGGGTTCTCACCCTACAATAAAGAGCAGTTGTCACTCACTGCCTGGCTTGCTGCGTCCTCATTCACCCAACTTAACACTAACCATGTGACTCACCGTGTTCCTCCTGAACTCTATGAGTCTATGTTTCTATGACATTCCTCCAAGAATTTTTCTAAAACCTCGCACTCTAAAAAGTCATATTAATTAGCGGCCATTGCCATGTTTTGTCCATGGATTAATTATATAGTTTTGTCAGTTCCAAATCTCCTAATTGGCTTAATTGAATTAGCTTTGTTTCTAATATTTTGAGAGGAGAAAAAAAATTCTTTTGATTTTGCTTGTTATGTTATATACCTTGCTTATGTTTGCTGAAATTGCCTTTTTCTAAGGTTACAGGTTAGAAAGTCCCCAACATTATGACCTTTTCTGATAAAATAATTCTTTTGGCTGATTTATTCTGTACTGTTTCTAGTTTTGTTCCATCCTTTTTAAAAAGTGATTACCAAAGCTATATACAGCACTCTAGATGCAGATTAGATTTGAGTTAGGGCTTTATGATTTTGGTAGTCTTTCCAAATATTTCTAAATATTCTTGGTATGTCATTTGCCTTTTCACAGCTACTGGACATTTACTCAACTGTGTACCATGACCTGTATAAATATATACGCCCACCCACAGAGAGAGAGAGAGAATGACCAAATTATATTGATTTTCATGTGTTTATTTATTTATTAACTTTATATATTGCAAGGCGATCAAACCGGTCAGTCCTAGAGGAGATCAACCCTGATTTCTTTTTAGAAGGCCAAATCCTGAAGATGAAACTCAAATACTTAATGAGAAGGAATGACTCACTGGAGAAGAAGAGCCTAATGCTGGGAAAGATTGAGGGCAAAAGAAGAAGGAGACGGCAGAGAATGGCTGGATGGAGTCACTGAAGCAGTAGGCGTGAGCTTAAATGAACTCCAGAGGATGGTAGAGGACAGGAAGGCCTGGAGGAACATTGTCCATGGGGTCACGATGGGTCGGAAACGACTTCACAACTAACAACAACTGTCCAATTCCCAATCACTCTAAATAGTTCACAAATATAAAATTAAAAATATTTTGTTTATGAAATATGATTTCAGCAACGTTGATTTTATATTTGTATGTTGCTTAAGGTGATAGTATATGTTTTTATGAAGGAGCACAAAAACTGCTAAATTTTTAGGGTGCAGATTCCTTCCACTATGTACTCATAAAGACTAGTTTCACACAATGAAAAATAAAACAAATCAGTTTTGGCCTCGGTGATATGGACTGATACTTTTCTTCTCTCGCAGTTATAGAAGAAACAGCCATCCACAAGGCCTTTAGATGTTGGCTAGTAGCCACATTAATCAAACCTGGGTTTCAGCCAATGGCTTCAATTACTTTCATCCAGCTTTTTTCTGTTGTTTCTTGAGCAGAAAATTGCAAAGTAGAACATTTCCAGGAAATTAATACACTTGGTTCTTTAATGAGTCTGTTGCCAAAAAGCCGCAGCGCTTTTGCAGTAAAACTCTGCGAGTGTATGAGAAGCTCCTGGATTTTGTTCTGTCTTCTTGATTTTGAGCACAAACTCTGTATAAACAGATTAACATTTTTGCTTGAGTAAATAAAAAAGTTGAAATGCCTTTTGACAGCAAATACAATTTTAAAAGGGGCGAATTTACATCCCTCTATTTCAGAGTCGCATTTAATCTGTTTTATGCTTTGCAATGGTATTTATGAATGTTTTCTAGCCACTTTAGAACCCACATTAGAGCATAAGGGGAGGGCAAAATTTAAATTTTAAAGGAGCCTGTAGTACAGTGGACTAAAGCACTGTTATTAACATCTGCTGCTTGCAATTACTGCAAGTTCAAATTTCACCAGGCTTAAGGTTGACTCAGCCTTCCATCCTTTCAAAGGTAGGTGAAATGAGGACCCAGATTGTGGGGGCAATAAACTGACTTTATATAAATATACAAAAGTATGAAGGCTATTGCTTAACGCATTGTAAGCCGCCCTGAGTCTCCGGAGAAGGGCGGCATATAAATTAAAGCAAAAAATGTAAATAAATAAATAAATAAATACAGTATGTACCATAATAGCACTCTATTCTTCCTGGGTAGTAGTTTCTTACACATTTTTTAAATTAGTGTTTTTAAAGACACTGAAAATATGCATGCTTATCTTGACTTATATATCTTCACTTCTTCTAATTTTCTTTGAGAGACTCCTTGTTTCCATCTTTGTTGTATGTATGGATGCATATGTTGTTTCAGTTACAGGTACACTTGTATCTCGTAGATTGCCCCATTCCATAGAAGTGCTAAGTGTTTATGTTTTGTATTTTTCATCACAACCATCACATCAATGTCTAAATGAATGCCATTTTGTTTTCTTCAGAATTATATTTTTTATTCAAAGAAGGAAAAATAATATACAAAACTATAAACAAAAAGTCCAGTTGCCAGTGGGCTGGCAATAGTTATTTCCTGCCATTTTTTTTTACAGTCATCCCGGAGTGAGAACTAGATTGCTTTCAACAAACCAGTTGAGTATTAGTCTCCAGTAGAAACCAGGCAGTCACTTCTTTTGATGTAAAATGTTGATTTTTTTCCTCTTTCCCTTTCCTTTGGATAGTACCAGTGGTCAGTTGCCCCCAGTTCGCACCGGTTCTATAGAACCGGTAGTAAAACTGGCGGGAGGCTCCGCCCACTGACCCTGACGTCATCAAAATGCTTCTGCGCATGCACTTCTGCTTCTTCTGTGCTTGTGCAGAAGAGCGTGTGCGCGAGTGAAGCAAGTGTGCACGCGCGGCCCTTTTGCGAACTGGTAGTAAAGATAAGTAGAACCCACCCCTGGATATTAACATTATTAATCCTGAATAACCTATCCTTCCCCAGTTTGCAAATGTTTCTTTTTGGCTCCTTTGTCATGTGAATAATAGGCTGCTCAAATCTTCCTTCTCCTTTATTTCTTTAGTATATTTTTCTATATCTATTTTAAAACTGGAACTTTCAGGAGTCACTTCAGCTATCTGATTTGGAAAGAATGATATGCATTTGGCCAAAAACAATGAGTATATTAATTGCACATATGGGAAAGGGTGAATTTATACTTAGTGCCAGGAACAAATTGTATGATGGTGTCCTTTTAGTGAAATGGGACTTGAACCCAATTTCAAATTGAAAACTATCCTAATCCATTAGTTTTAAAGGATAGTGGAATTTAACTCTTGCAGCAGAAATCTTGAACTATTGTTATGCATGAAAGGAAGAGGCCACAAGCCATTTCCATCTAGCCTTCCATCAGCTGAAAAATGTGAAGACATGATAATATTGCTGTTTAGAAGTAAATGATCCTTTTTCCAACAGGCCTTTCTCTTGTGTTATCATGCATCTTTCAACAGTAATTCTGCTACCGTTTTCCTGAAAATAAGACCTACCCTGAAAATAAGACCTAGCATGTGTTTACATGTGCGCCTAATATAAGTTCTACCCCCAAAATAAGCCCTACTTAAGGGCCTGTGCAGCCAGCTGGCTGTACATTCCATCTGGTTGCTCGTGTTGCAGCAACAAGGCAAAGTGTGTGTGTGTGGAGCTGCCCCACATACCCTGCTCCGGCTTACCTCAGGGCCCCCATAGCTGGGCCATTCATGTCCCTACATCTGCCTCATGGTGGCAGCATCAACAACTATGTGCAGCAGGAACCCATGTGATTGCCGGCCCACTTCTGCTTGCTTGCAGTCACAACGGAGCAAGAAGGTGAGTGGTGTGTTGGTGCTGTGGCTGCAGCTGCAAGGCAAGGCAGGTGTCAGGGCATGGGGGCCTGGCTGTGGGGGATCTGAGTTAAGTCGGTGCAGGGCACATGGGGCAGCTCCAACCCACTGCCTCGCAGTAGCAGTGGCACTGATACACTGTGAGGCCTCCTGTGCCAACCTGAGCAAGCAGAAGAAGTGGGACTCCCATAAATGGGATAAAAAAGACACTCCCCGAAAATAAGTCCTAGTGCTTATTTTGGGGCCCAAAAGAAAATAAGACCTGGTCTTATTTTTGGGGAAACATGGGTAGCTGTGAATTTAGGTTCCTGGTTTTACGCTTTTGGATTACTGATCAATTGTCTATTACATTAAATTTATACAAATATGCCAATAAACGGTACTTTCCTTCACCTGCAGAACTGTCATATGACAAATATGGAGCGATATCGTTCTACCTCATCAAGCTGAATGAAATTCTGTTGTAGATCCAACAAATCTGGAGCAGATCAAGTAAGGGGACACTGGACCCAGAGGACTAGAAAAGGATGAGATACGACAGGGAGAACTTTGGCTATGAGATTAATTTCCTTGTAGATTGCTTTCAGGTAGGTTAAGGACAAGGAAAGTTTTATGGCTAAGAACTGCTCTTAACATGAGCAGTCAACGATGCAGACTGAGTGGGGTTGCACTACATATGGGGTATGCATGGTTACTGAGTTTGGGGTCAGTGAGATGGGGGATTTTCCTTATATTTTTAAAACAATTTCACAGCTCATATATGTTCTGTGTCAAAATGACAGAAAGCTGCAACTGGTTGTTGGCAATCTTGGAGCTGAATTCTGTGGGGCCTACAAGGAAGGAGACGGGTGAGAATCATATTCTTCCCTAGTATAGTAGGTTGTCTGCCCTTAATGTAAGCCAGTACCCTGGCCTCCCTCACTTCTTATCTAAGTAGGAGGCTCAAGTTATCTTTCCAGCCATCCTTTGTGCAATACTTCAAATATCTGCTAAAATCCAAAACACTAAGACAAGCCATAATAAATTACTAAGGCTAGGTTAATTATATAATTTTACTTGGAATTTTTAAATGTGCGTTGCCCTCTTTTGTTTTTTCAAGATTCCCTTTTCCAAAACCAGTTTGGTGTTTAGAGATTTGTCTTATTTCGTTGATTCAATGAAAGGTTTTGTCAAGTATTTGATTGCTATTAATGGTGCCATAAATCTTCTCTTGATGGCCCTTGACTAATGGCTCTGGCTGGGTGTGAAAGAATCGCAGGAAAGGGGAAGGGAAATGGATCCGTCCATCCACAGGCTGTTGCACACAAAGGTGTGCTGTCCCAGGGAGCTGTTGAATGGTTTTATAATTATGGGATTGAATGAAGTTGCTATGCAAATTGCATGTTATGCTGTAAAAGAGTTAAATATCCCAAGTGGCATCCATCCATTAAGCAATATGTCTCCTGGAGCTTTCCAATTCGGCTCTGAAAATCGGTCTCTTCTGTTTTTCTTTTCTTTGTAGGCAGCCTACATGCTTTCTTCTTCTCATCATTGCTTTCCTACCCCTTGCTGTATGCCTGTGTAGTTACCGCAGCTCTTTTAATTTCTCCTCCCTTAACCTTCTCCCAGGGAGGAGAATGATGACGTGAAAGGAGCCTTTGTATGTAAGAAAGCAAAGATGGTCCCATTGTTTCTCCTCTTTGTAGCTACTATTATCCATCCACAAAGAGGATAAAGTATCAGCTGCTTGGATGAAATGTCAGCACCACTGATCTATCACCAGGGGTGATTTATCAACCCCAGATTCACAGCATTACTCCTGGATGAGAGCAGGCATAGGTGCTTAAGACATAAATAAAGCATTGGAGGCTTCAGTGAAGGAAAAAGCAGTCACAGGAGAGACAAAACAAATTCTTTTTTTGTAGCGCCCAGAAAATGTAGATCACAACAGCTGATGGGTGGTTTTCTGCTATTTTGCAATAGGATATAAAACTTCAATAGACATTAACTTTTCTTTTTTAAAAAAAATATTCAAAAATTCAAGAAAAAGCCCCCCAAATTCTAGTCCTCCCCACTTTACACCATCACATTGGCCACTGAAGCAGAATTACAGCATTGGAAGGGACTTTGGAGCAGGGGTGAAATGTAAAATTTGTTACTACCAGTTCTGTGGGCGTGGCTTGGTGAGGGGGTAATGTGACTGGGTGGGCATGGCCAACTTTTTTTTTTTAACTTTTCAAAGCATTTTTTCTACAACCTCTTCGGTCGAACAGGTTGCAAAAAAATGCTTTGAAAAGCCTCTGCCGATCAGGCAACTCAGCTGGGATCGTCAGAGGCTTTTCAAAGCATT